AGAGAGAGAGAGAGAGAGAGAGAGAGAGAGAGAGAGAGAGAGAGAGAGAGAGAGAGAGAGAGAGAGAGACTCGTATTGTTGGACGCAACCGGGATTTGTAGGAATACCTGTGCTCAACCTAACCACACCCTCTTTGAAACCAACCACCCATACCCACTGTAAACCTTTACCCATCTCTACCTGCTCCAAAAGAAAAAGATGTATAGTACATTGTGTACCCATACCTGCCCTATACCTGCCTTACCTGAACCTCTTCAGACTGTCACTGCCCATACCTGCCCATGGACTTCGTTTTCAAAACCACCGATGACCACCTGAACTCGAACTGTTTGTTACCCACCCATAGCCGACGCAGCCCATGTTTTCCTTACCCGTACCCACCCACAAGTGCATGCACACACCCATAACCGGCTGCGCCTGTCTCCTGAGTCTTGACGTTTGCTGCGGCTGCTGATCACACCTGCAACGCCCTCCTGCTAGCTCACACCTGCGACGCCCGCCATGGAAGCTATGAAGGACACGGGTGGTGAGCAGGACGACGGGTGGGGACATGAGCGACGGGGGGAGACTCCGGGGAGTAGTGGGAACAGGGAATGGAAAGGGGTGAGAGGCAATGGGCCTCGCTCCACTACTCACAAAATATTGAAAATGAGAATGAATCTTCAGCTGGAACATGGGAAGATACACCGTCTTTTTGTTTTCTTCTTTACATTTCGTGAGTAGTGGAGCGAGGCCCACTTGAAAGGCCCAACCCGAAGTCGGGAAACTTTTGGACTTCCAACAACACAGCGCCTTGGTGGGAGGGGGAAAAAAAAGAGGAAATGGTTGTTTGGGACTTTCGACAAGGCAGCGGAAGAACAAATATTGGGGCGATAACTTGTGGTGGCGGGAGAGGGGGGCAGAGGGAGGGGGTTGGCTGGGTTGGGAGGTTGGAATGGGTATGTACCAGGTATTCCATGGTTACCCGATAGGAACCTCTACCCGCCCGTATCCATAACAGTTTTGCCACCCGTGCCTGCCCATACCCGTTCTATTTTTCTTTTTGGCCACCCATACCAGAGGTCCCCCCCCCCCTCTTGCCCCTACCTACCACTACCTGCCCATTATCTCCATAAGGGCAATGGTGCCTACCCTAACAATGGGCACTATTTTTTTTGTTTGCCCATACCCAACTCCCCCTTCGGAAGGGGTCCCACCCGTAACCTGGCGGTTACAGTTGGGTACGGGCGGGTACAGGTTACCCGTTTGCCGTTTTCTGGGGCACGGTTACGCAGGCCGAAGTTTGTTTGTTGATGTGGTGGGGGAGGGGTAAGGTAGT